AGTGAATATCAGACCCTGGAGTTGCTGAGGTCCTGGGAGGGAGAACAGGGTAAGAAGGAGCAGAGGACCCAAGACTTGGTGTCGGGCTGGGAAAGATCCAGGCAGAAGAGGCACTGGACCCGTGGTGTTCAGAGAGCCAGGAGAGGGAGGACAGGGTCTCTCACAGAGTCACTTGGGTCTTCTGGAAACTCAGGTCTCCCCTTCTTCTCCTTTCCTTCCAGACCCCTCCCTCTACTTGGCTGTTTCACTGCTTATTGACCGAGAAGCATTTAGTGTTCATTATAGGAAAATTCTATTACTAGACCTTTAGTGCTTCAGTGTTAAGGTGCTATCTATATCAATCGAATTAATTTATTAGATAATTGATAGCATTTTTCAGCCTCCTTCTAACCCATATACATAGGATCCCTGGGAAGAAAGTGCTTTCAATTCCATCTTGAGCTTTGCGTGTCCCCAGCTTCCAGAGAAGGCTGCACGTTTCCCATAGGAGGAGAAACAAATTACTGGGATTGCAAAATTTTGCAGTCTGTCTGCTTGTGCTCAGCTCTTCACCCTCCGGGGGAGTGTGCAGTTCTCCTGCACTGCCCGCAACTGGGGGGCTAAGTCCAATTCAGGAAGGCTGCACAGGGACCCACTTGGCTGACGAACCTGAGCCTTGCTTCCCAACGAAAGGAGGCTTTGCCTGGCACCTGGGTCTCCCAGGTGGTCCAGAAGTCACAGAGATGGAAGGTGGAATGGAATAGTGTGGCACTATTTATTGGGCCGCCTTCAAATCTGCACACCCACTATGTGCAGTGGAGGTATAGCATAAAAGCTAAGACTGTGGACTTTGTACAAGGATAATGCTGGGCTCAAATTCCAGTTCTGACACTTGCTGTGCACCCTTGGACAGATCCTGTACCCTCTCTGCATCTGGCTGCCTGGCAGGGCTGCTGAAAGGATTTAAAGGCCCAGTGCCCAGCCCACGGAAGTGCTCCAGAGCACAGTAGTAGGCCAATTAGGCTATCCTGGGGGGAGATATACAAGACAAAAATAAAAAAGGGTAAACCCAAGTCTCTTCCTTCACAACACTCAGATTCATGTTTTCTTCCGCACTCTCATTCACTTCACTAATATTTATTGAGTGCGCACCATGTGTCCAGCACAGCCCTAGGCACTGGGACACCCCATGCACAAGCTAGACCAAAAATTGGAGAGGAGGTCAGATAATGAAGAAATAAATGAAAGAAAGAAATAAGTGAAATACCTCATGTGTCAGATTTATCACCATCCGTGGAATCATAAAACAAGAAAAGAGGAAGGGAGGTCTGGCTGGATGGGAGGGGTGCGATTTTAAATTGTGTGTTCAGGGAAGACTTCACAGAGAAAGTGACACCCAAAACAAGGCTGGAAGGAGGAGCTGGAAGAACATTCTAGACAGAGGGAGGAAGCTCTTAATTCCAAGATTCTAAGTTCACCTGATGGGGTAGGGAGTGTGGAGTTCCCCCGGGTCTCCAAATGGTATTATTATAGTGCTGAGCACACAGCAAGTGCCAAATAAAGAAGTCCTGAAGGGTGATTTTTCAAACTGCCATTTCCAGAAGGTCCCAGTTGCTGATAATACAATATGGGCTGTTTGAAAATTCAGCATTCAGCCGCTGCTGCCTCCAAGGCCCCCAACCCTGGGAGCCTCCTTGTAGCACACCTCATTATTAAACAGGTGAGCAGGGCTCCCGGGACCTTCTCTGTAATTAGGGCAGTATCTGAGCAAGGGCTATATTTATAACCCCCAGCCATCAGCAAGCCACAGAGACAAGGAGTGGCTCCCTCTGCAGCTCCTATACCAACATCTATATGTGAACTGATTACAACAATTAATTTAATAGGGATTCCTCCGCACAAACAATGTATCATTTTATTAGGAAACTCTATAAATGTCAGTGGTGCAATTCATTTTTATTAATTTTCTAAAATGAAATTAGCAGTGGCGGCGGCGGCTGTGGCAAACAGAAGCTGTATTGCCTTCTCATTCAGCAGAGTATTGGTGTCATTAATTCCTTAATACCAGGAGGCCGGTTTGTATGAACTCAGCAGTTAACTGCACCAATTAATTTCAATACAAGAGATGGGAGGAGGGGATCCAAACTCAACTCAACAACTAATTTAGGAAGGTCCTTGAACAACCACAGCAACTTTTCCTCCTCCTGGGACAAGAAGCTTTCAAGTGTAAACATGGAGTGGATATTATAATACTAAGGGGAAGCGTTCTGTCTTCACCCTCTGCCTTTAGGAGAGAAATTCGTCCTTCCAAACCCTTCCAAAAAGGCCGATACCCCCCTGCAGTCAAAGCCTCCAGCAGGCCTAGGGACTGCCCCTTGCAGACAAGAGGAGCGGTGATGTCCCAGTGCATCAACACAGACCCTCACAGCGTGCACACCAAGATCACAAGCATTATTCCATCCAATCCTCACACTGACCCAATGAGCACAGGATCAAAAACAACTCCATTTCCCACAGGAAGAAGGAAAAGTGGAGCTTTTAAAGCAGCTAAAATGACTTTCTTAAAGTCACAAAGCTACTGAGTGACAGAGCCAGGGCGCAGACCCAAATCTGTCAATATCTGAAACCCACATTCCTTCTTTTCTGCCATGCACGCCCCTTCTGCCTTGGGATGGGACGTCTCTTGGCTCTATTTATACTCCAAAAAGTCAAGTGAGTCAAGGATGACCATGAATGACATTCACTTCTCAACTGAAATCCACATTCCAAAGGCTGAAACACAGGGCAAGATCCCCGCCCTGAAATGTTCTCCCGTTCTGCAGTCAGAGGACGAGGAAGCAGGGCACGCGCCTGCATATCTGAGATCAGATGTCTGGCACAGGACGTGTTCCAGAGAATCTCACTCTCTGGCTACAGAGAAGCTCTTTCCTTCCACTTAGATTCAAGGAGTGTTTCACCGAGGAGTGAAAGGCGTATTGAGAGGCTGGAAGCTGCTTGAGATGAGAGCCTCTGTTGAGTCAGGAAATGGTGCAGAGGCAGAAATCAGACAGACTTCTTTACCCCCAAAGAAACTAGGGCAGTGGTTCTCAAAGTGAGGTCCCAGACCGGCTGCATCCCATCACCTGGGAACTTGTTAGAAATAACAGATGCTCAGGCCCCACACCAGACATACTGAATCGGAAACTCTGGGGGGTGGGGCCCAGAATCTGTGCTTTAACAAGGCTTCCAGCTGATTCTGATCACCATTCAAGTTTGGGAATCACTGTCCTGGAAGAACACACCCCCAGAAGAAAGGAGAGATGTGTGCCAGGCCTTCCACGGTTCAGGCTATAGCTCTGCTCGCCAAGTAGTAGATTGTGTCACCATTCACTGGCCACTCCTCTCGTCTACCCCCACTCTACAGAAGAGTGTCTTTCCTGCCCCATTCTTATTGGCTTGGCCACAGGAATTGCTTTGGCTAACGGATTTGTGAACAGTAGTAACATATGATGCCACATCCGGCAGGGCTTTTCATTGTGCCTGAATGGATGGCCTTGGGCTTTTAAGTCCCTGCCATCTTCCATGGCAACCAGATATTCCAGAGAATGGGGGCTTCCTCAGCCTAGGTCCTAGAACAAAAAGACACGTTGAGTGGCCCTGAACCCAAGCCAAAGCCACAGCCCGGCCACAGACGCATGAGCAGGAAATAAAAATGTGCTGTTGTAAGTCACTAAGTTTGGAGATAGCTTCTTTCACAGCATCATAATAGCAAAAGCTGACTGGCATAACCCATCTGATTTTACAGAAAAGAAACTCATGGCCCGAGAAGGCTGAGGAGTTGTGGGCATCCTGCAGAGGAATTCAGGCTGAAAGGTAAGTGAATCAGAGCCAACCCTGTAGCCCCAACTGGGGGGTGTGAATCTCAGGAACTAATCTCCCTTTTCCCAACATCCTCTGACCTCCTCCAAAATGGAAATTCTGCCCTCATCTAAAAGATGCCAACCATTAAAAACCTAAGCCTAAAGAAGTAATATTTTAAAGTATCTTCTAGAATGAGTAGATGTGGCTCAGAAAGAACAGGTCAAGCTGATGGCCAAGGGGGAAGAGGACACATCCTTGCCCCTTTCTCTGGTGCCAGGTAACAAACCTGGAGAACTTGGTGCTTCCATCCAAAGGGAAACAGACTGGGCATTCCACTTCGTAAATTCAAACCCACAGCCCAGTCATCCTGTAAACCACATTCCCGGCTAACACTCCTCAAGCTAAGAAACACCTGGCCCTGTCACCACTAATAGAAAAGCTGTGGCAATTGGAAGAGAGTGGCCACATACTTCCGAAGCTCTACAACATATACCAAAAATAAAAACTGAGAGCTGGGGAAGAAAGAAAAGGCTGTCTTTAAAATAAACCCTAAATCCCAACTTTACCATTCCTCACAAAATAATATCACTAGCATTGACAGAACACAAGTGGGCTGACTCTTCATCAATCCCCTCCATTCCCGAGTGGTGGCAGAAGTTCAGTGTTTGTGGCAGCTGGTAGGTTCAAGAACGTTTACCGCATAATAAACTGCAAACTTAGCCATTGCTTCTGATGTGGGGATCTTCTTAGCACCATGAAGAATAACTTGATTTTCGGTTTGCAAAACACTTTGAGATGAAAGTGGACAGTTAAGGTAGTTTCCCCTTTAAAAAATAAGTTTCTAGAGAACAGCGGTGGCAGGTGGGCACTTTCCCAAAATAGACTCCCCCTCACGTTCCTGCCGGCCAAGGCTTTCAAGGCCCTCGGCTGAGGGATCCGGCGTTAAGCCATCAGGTTAAAAGTTCCAACTTGCATGACAGCAGCTGTGCTGTTTTTAAGCCATCTGATTGCGTTCACTTCCACGGTCTTAGGTCAGTTAATGAGGCCTCAATGTCACAAGCTATCAAGCACAACATGGCATTTTCAACTTGCCCATGAATTGACTGGTCAAATCAGGTAATCAATGAAAATCAATCCATTCACTGTACATATTTGAAAAACTGCAAGATCTGGCACATTACCTTGTCTTAGGGGAGGTGGTTAGCCATTCTTCGTGTTTCTCAAATGTTATTAAATAAGCTGCAATTTCCTGAAACAGAAGAATAAAAAGATAATAACAACAATTAGCTTACGTTGGATCCTAAGAAGTAAGAAAGTTTTTGTTGTTTCCCAGCTGCTGTTCTTCTTTGTAAGGCTGGAACCTCATCTCTGCTGGAAAAACATGCGACTTGGACTCTCTATTTTGATTTTTTTAACTCCTTTCCATTCAACCTGCCATACAATAATAATCAAAGCATGGGTTTCAAAAGATGAGTCGGTGGCAAGGACAAAGATATTTCTCTGTGGGAAGAAAACATCAGACACCATTTCAGATTCTAAATGTCATTAATTTGAAGGAGGGAAAAACACATGCCAACAACAGGTCTCCGCTCATGCAAGGTCATAATTGGAAAGTTTAGTCTGTCTTCTTCTGAAGCTGGACTAATCTTTCATCATTGTCACAAGAGACGTTGCATTCTCTCAGCTTGATTCCCAACCCCCTGAGCCAAATCACACAAAGATTAAAAAGAAAAGAAAAGATAAAGCCATATTCCAGAGAGAGAGAGAGAAGTTAACCTTTCCCACTACTGGTAACTTCATCTATTGAGCGGTGCTTCAGAAAGAAGCGCAATGTCAGCAGAGTTTAAGGAAAAGATGGAGAAAATGTGGGCACCTGAAGGTAAATTAAATATTTATAAACACAACAACATCAGTGCAGATAGAATTACTGATTTATTAATAATTTCCATAAAAAGCCAGTGGGTGACATCAACATAAGTCATTGCTCCAGCTCTGAGGCATGATATGGCCCATTACTTCCAGCTCCAAACGGATCTGCTAACATGAAATTGGCAGGGATTGTAAGTTAAATTAAGGTTGTACTAGCACACATTTTCCTTGATCTTGGTGATGATACAGCATGGAGCTGCTGCCCTTGACTATCAGAAAAATGCATAGAAGAGGCTTCCGTCTCAATGCTCTGCAGCCAGGGTTCCTCCAGGGCTCCTTGTGATGGAGCAGCCCACCACCCAGAGGCTCACAGCCTTCCTCTGCAATTAGCCTTCTCTGGGCTCAGACGTGACGGACTTGACACCTGTGATCAGAGATGCTAACCTTGGCCTTGAATAAAAAGAAGAAACTATCACCAAAACCAGGTAAGCAGAGCAGGTGAAAGTAGAAACTACCACCCATGCCACGCAGTATGAAGGCCACAGACCCAGGTGGAGATCAGGGTCTCACATAATCACGGAAACGAGGTAGCCAGTGACCTGTAAACCAGAGCCCAAGCAACTTCTGTCCGGAAGCCTGGACCTTTCACCAAGAACCTGGGAAGCAGAAGCCCATGGCAAAAATAATGTTGCCTCATTGTACAGGTTTCTATCATTTATGGCAGCTAAAGAAATTGTAAAATAAGAAGCTGATCAACCAGAACATTGTTCTCTCTCATCCCTGAGGCTTTTCATATTCTATTTCCTCTCCTAGAAAATGCTTTCCCTAAGGTCTCACCATGGATATCACCTCCTTTGGCTATGTGCTCTCATGGCACCTGGCACCTCCCTCCAGTGCGTAGGATTTATCATTCTGCGTTCTAATTGCTTGTTTACTTGAATAGCATCCCCCGCTGGACCATGAGCTCCTCAAAGGCAAGGAATATGCCATCACTGATGTATGCCCAGGACCTAACAGTGTCCTGAGGCACACAGGAAGCACCTGATAAATGTTTGTTAGATGGATAGATGGATGAGAGGGCAAGAAGGAGGGAGAGCTGGCATTATAGAAATGAATGTGCATATATAACTGAGTATGTGTGTCTGTGTGTGTGTGTGTGTTCTGAGTGTGTGTGTGTTTGTATATGTTTATTACTGAAGATAGTTGAAGCAAGAGCTTAAAAGCAGCAAGATGCAGCAGTTCCCAGCTAAGCCCTTACCAATGAGTTAATTAGCTCTAAGTCACTGCAGGAAGGTGGTATCGCATCATGGTCAAGAGCACACACTTTGGAAGAAAACAGACCTGGCTTGGGGGCCCGCTCTGCCATTTAGGAGCTGCCTGATCTTGAGCACATTACTTAACCTGTCTACACCTCACTTTCCTATGAACCCAAGATAACGCCACCTCATGAGGCAGTTATGAGAGGCAACAATTGTTAAGACACTGACTGAATATAGCAATGCCCTGCAACCACAGCTGCCATTATTATCATTGTAAGGTCTGCATGGTGTGAGCCGCCTGTCTAGAGGCCCCTGATGAGGTAGCAGGTACCAAAATGGTCCAGGTCAGAAGCTGCCAGCGCTTTATCTATCCCCACCCTCTACCCCCTCACACCTTCCCATGCCCACGCTTGCAGAAAATGAATGGTAACATCACGATGACTGTTCAGAGTTAGTTGGAGTCAATCCTTCCATTTAGCTATGGTTGTCCACTTAGTTTCACAAAACACTGAGAGCAGACAGTAGCTGGAGTCAGTAATTGGATAAACTGAGCCACTTATTATGTGTATCAGCTCATCTACCTGAATTTCAGGAGACTTGGTATCCAGAGGAATAGTCTGTGCCAACTGGAATGCCCTTACCCGGGATCATGCTAAGCGCTAAGTGACCCCTACTGGCCCAGAAGGTTGGGGGCACAGTGCATCCCTGCCACCTCTACATTTATCACAGTGTTCCAAAGACCCAGACACCCAAAGAAAACCTTCATGAACATCCTCAGCCAACACTCACCCCAACCTGGCAGGGGTCCCCTACTGCTACTGTCCTTCAAAGAGAAAAACTCCCTGGACTACTTATTGCATTCCATATTGACTCCACATACATTTCTGGGGCACCTGCTATGTACCAGTCAGTGAACAAGACCACTAGGAAGCCTGCCCTCAAAGAGCTCACAGTCGAGTAGGGGATGAAGACAAGTCAGTGTAAGAATGCAATGCAAGCACTATTACAGGGTCAACTGTCCAGTCAACTCTGTAGCCGACCCAGAGGATCATCTCAGGTCTAATGAGCTGCTGTGCAAGCAAGCAGAGGCCCCAGGGAACCACACTGATTTATGAACCACCTTTGAGCACTGGCCACTCCCTTCTCTACCCCTAAGGTAACAATGACACCTCCCACACAGAGTCCCCTTTGTGGAGCACCTATCACACTCAACAGCAGCCCTTCTGAGCAAAGGAAACTGAATACCCAGACCCAGGCTTCCACCTCTGTCACACTCCAGTTGGCTTGGACCTGGAGCTGGACTCGACCACCAGGGAGTGTCACCATGTTGCTGACTGGCTCCCACCTGAACTGGACATGTCTGGTCACCTGTCTACTCCAAGACCCATGTTTCCCAGTCTGCCCAGCCCATTTCTCTTATCTAGGTCTTGCCTACCTTGTCATCAGATGGTAGACCATGGGTTGGACTCTGCCTTCCCAATGCTTTGGTACTGGTTGGGGAGATGAATATGCACATGCCAAAGTACCACATAGAATAATAGATTCGAAATAGTATACATAAAAGTAAGAACCATCAAAATTCAGAGTAAGGAGAGTCAGCTGGTGTAGGAAGGAAAATAATTTGGGGGAAAGAGAGGCTTCATCACCTGGGTCATCGTTACCATCACGGTGTCTAACACTGGTGGAGCGATGTCTAAGGCCAGTACTGCTTTAGGACTTTATGGAGGATCATCTCACTTAATCTTCACAGCAAACTATGAAGTAAGAACCACGTGCATTTTACAGGTGGGGAAACTAGGGCATGGAGCAGCTAAGCAGCTTACCCAAGGTCACACAGCTAGTCTCTATAGAACCAGAACCCAAGCCCATGCAGAATGGTTCCAGAGCCCACACTCTCCACTGCTGTTCTAAATTTCTTAAGGAACAGCCATGATGTACTCAGATGGAGAAAAGGAAAACCTGCTTGTGGAGTCATGCTTCCCCAACAGGGGCTAAGAGCCTCCTCCTCCCTACTTACCCAGTGTCACTTCGCTGTCCCACCTCTCTTCAGGGAACCAGGAGGAGCCAGACTGAGCATCCTCCAGCGGGATTCTCTCCTTCCAGGAGGATCAAGCTCATTTCCACCCAAAAACCCTTATATGATTAATGGGATCATCTACTTCAGTGATAGGGAAAATTCCTTATATCCAGGAAACATTTGCTTAAAATATCTTACAAGGCAGACAAAAAGAGAGATGCTCTAGCTGAAGAGGGAAAGAGGTTTTGAAAAGAAGGATCTTCAGGCCAACTCTCTGGCCTCCCCCATCTTCCCTGAAGCTCCACCAACCTAGGCCTCTAAGGAAGGCAGATGGAAACACAGACCCAGTCCATCTCATTGTTACAGAGCAGAAAACTGAGGCACAGACAACGGAAGGGACTTGCTCAAAGTCAGCATGTTTGGGGCTGAGCCAAGCTGGGCCCCAGGGCTCGATTCCCAGCGCATGCATGATCTCTCCCCACTTACTTATTGTCTCTCAAACGCAAACCTGACCCAGGAAATTCGTAAGATGTTCAAATAAGAAGAGAGAATGCCCCAAAGAAGTGAAAACAGGGACTCAAACAAAATCATGTACTCAAATGTCCACAGCAGCATTATTCACAATCCCCAAAAGGTGGAAGCACGCCAAGTGTCCCTCAACAGATAGATGGATAAAAATGTGGTCTAGCCACACAATAGTAGATTATTCAGCCATAAAAAGAAGTAACGTTCTGATATACGCTACAACATGGATGAAGCCTGAAAACATGCTGAGTGAAAGAAGCTAGACACAAAAGGCTGTGTATTGTGTGATTTGATTGATATGAAATGTCCAGAACAGGCAAATCCATAGAGACAGAAGGGAGAGTGGTGGTGGCCAGGAGCTGGATGAAGAGGAGAATGGGGAGTGACTGATAATGGGTATGGGGTTTCCTTTTGGGGTAATGAAATGTCTGGAACTAGACAATGGTGAAGGTTACACAATATTGTAAATATACTAAATGCCCCTAATGGTAAATTTTGTGTTATGTATATTTTATCACAATAAAAAAAGACAAGAATAAGTGTAGACATCCAGCGAGGTGTGGCATTGGGATGAAGAAA